CCATCCTGCTGTGCGACGGGCCTCGAGCAGAAGTAGACTGCTGCGCGGTGCGTGCATCCGGAGCAGGGTGTGCTGAGGATCAGATGGTCCGGTGTGCAAAGCCCGCACAGGACACGCACCAGGAACTGCAGAGAGGAGGAGCGAAGGCCGGGAAAGCAGGGCACCTGCACTTGGAAACTGTGTCCTTGACTGGAGTCAAGGTCATCCTGGGTTTCAGCTGAGCCTGGCAGTTGGGGGTGTGCGCTGACGGTGTGAAGGAGACCCTCCCCTGCCCAAGAGCCCAGGGGGACACTGGAATGGAAGCAGGGAACACAGCAAAGCCTGCAGGCACCTCAGCCTCGCTGGTTGCTGGAGAGGAAGACTGAGGGGGAAACCAGCTGAGGAGCAGGAGGGTGGCGGAGTGCTGGAGCGTGGTCAGCACTTGTGCCCGGCCTCTTGATCTGCACAATCCTGGTGTGCTTCTTCCTTTTGTGTGAAGCTGTCTTATCACAAAACAAACAACAAGAAAACAGTTGCAGGTGTTTACCATAACAAATTCAGACTTTTATAAAGGTAAGGCAAAAAAAAGTTACCTACTCCTCCAGTGCCATCAGCTTTTAACTCAAGAGTATTAAATTTTTCCTCCTCCCTGGGGACTGGGCCAAGGGCCTTCACACTGAGCTACATCCCCAGGCTCTTTTTAGATTTTCATTTTGAGACAGGGTCTAACTAAGTGGCTAAAAGTGTTCAGGCTGGGTTTAAATTTGCAGTCATCTTTGCTTCAGCCTTCTTCTGGAGTGTTGGGATTACAGGTGTGCACTACTGCACTTGTCTTTAAATTCTTTCTTTTCTCTGTCTTTTTTGAGACAGGGTTTCACTATGCAGTTCAGGCTGGCCTTGAGCTCACTCTGTAGCCCAGGCTGCTCTTGAATTTGAAATGATCCTCCCCCCTCAGCCGGAGGAGTGCTGGGATTACAGGCATGCGCCACCATGTCTGGCTAATTGTTTCTTTTTAATAAATTAAAATTGATAATATGTTCACATGGCTCAAAATTCAAAAGTCATGAGCCTGTGTAAAGTGTCTTTTTCACCCCCATTCTCTAGCTATTTCTGAGATCTAGTTCTAAGACCCTCAGTGTAAGCAGGTGCTTCTGTCCTTCCATAAATATTCCCTGCTATTCCAGGTTTTCTTCAGAGGCTATTAAAAAGGAGCAGAAGCCGGGTGTGGTGGCACACCCTGGAATCCCAGGACTCAGGTGGCTGAGGCATGAAGATCGCCGTGAGTTCGAGATCAGCCTGGGCCACAAAGTGAGCTCAAGGCCAGCCTGAGCTACATAGGAGACCCTGTCTCAAAAAGATAAAATAAAAAAATAAACGGGAGCAGACCACTCAGAGTTCATGGGAAGAACTCTTTCCCCTACGTGAGCTGGGGCTAACAGCTGCACTCCTGACCAGTGAAGAAACCCCATCAGCAGGATCCCTCTGCAGGAGGGGCTGGAGGGGCATCCAGCGCTCTTCTGCACATGCAAAGAGCCTTCAGATGTGGTCAGCTAGGTGTCCGGTGCTTTAGAGCGGAGAGCACTCTTCTCACTTAGGCTGTAAATTGGCGAGAGAAATCTAGATGCCAGTTGTGATAGGAAACAAAGTTTCACGGTGGCAGACCATAGGGGACCTTGTGCTGGTTACAAATGTGGAGAAAAAGCTGTTTTAAGGCAGCCACCCTGGGTATATGTTTATAAAAGAGAGTCACTTTGCAGCTGAATTAAGGTGCATCCAAAAGGGGATGAAAGACAGCAGGCATCGGGCTGCCAAAGAAGATGGAGGGCGGTAGGGTGGGGCCCAGGCTTGGAAGGAAGCCTGATGCTGAGGGCAGAGCAACTATATAGAAAGCAGAGGAGGGAGGCTGACCAACCAGGAAGAGCCGCACAGTGGAAGAGCCCAGGCAGCCTATTCTGCAAAGGTCCATACAGCCTTCCTGTTTCCCCTTCCTTTTCCGGGGCCTTTACACTCAGCTGCATCTCCAGCCCTTTAGTATTTATTTTGAGACAAGGTCTTACTAAGCTGCTAAAGTTGCCCAGCCAGGGCTAGAACTTGTGATACTCCTGGCTCAGCCTCCTGAGGGTTTGGGATGACAGGTATGCACCATTATACCCAGCTCCTAGGATGGCCTTTGCAAGGAAAGTGGGAGGGACAGAAGGATGTAGGCTGGGAGATGGTACATCTGGGCTCAATCCTGGCTTTGTTTTTCTCAGGAATGTGCCTTGGAAAAGTCACTCAAATTCCTTGTACCTCAGTTTCCTGACTGGGACAGTACACGGGGACTCCTCTCTCCTGGGAGAGTTACTTGATCCAGTAAGTTACAAGCCTATGCCTTCGCTATGTTTTTATTTTGAGACAGGGTTTTTACTAGATTGCCCATACTGGCTTCGAACTTCTGATCTGTGCCCTTCAGCCTTCCATAGCGCTGTGAGTACAGGTGTGCGCCACTGTGCCCGCCTCACAGCAAGCGTTTGGAACAATGCCTGGCACCCACAGCTAACTCATCACCTCGTACCCATTGCTATTTGTAACGAAGGCCTGTGCGGGCTTGCTTTGCTGGCACAGAAGAACTTGGTGATGGACCTAGAAACAGGATCATGGATGGATTTCAGGTAATGGTAGGAGAGGGAAAAGGGAACAAACAACACCATGGCAAGAACGCAGCAAGAGGAATGAGGCTGAAAGGGCTCCAGGTGCAGCCATTTAGGCAAATCCTTTTGCAGCTACTGAGTGTTCACAAACGGTGTGCAGAAGGGTATGTCTCCCGGACAGTGAATGGAGGACATTTTCTCCTGCAGAGGAGCTTGTGTATGTCGGTGCCCACTCAGAGCTCCGAGATTATGAGTAGGAAACATGGCCAGGTCACACAGCAGGAATGCCAAGATCCATAGAAATTCAGGAAACTTGGGATCCAGTCCTAGCTCTGTCCTGTTGTAAGTGGCATATGCCATTTGAGTCAAGAGAATTAAGACCTTAGTTTTTCTTTTTAAGATGGAGTCTTGCTCTGTCACCCAGGCTCGTTTCTCAAACTCCTGGTCTTTTTCCAGGTTCCGTGCCAAAACGGGCAAGATTTGTAAATACTGGCACCGGGGGAGAGTGTGATCTTTTTCTTTTCTCATCCATTTCAGAAAAGCTCAGGGGTTCATTTTTTTCTTGTGTTCTGCCTAAAGTCACTTCCAGATTGGAAGGCATGTAATGGGAAGAAGTAATAAAATAAAGTGATTTATTTGCTGAAAGGAAATGAAGCTTGTTTCGCCTGGGAGAAAGTTGTGCAGCTAGACTGTGATCGTTGAGGTTCAAACCACCCTTTTCACCAACGCTGTCCTGGAGCCCAGAGTCCAGGATTAGCAGACAGATCCGTTAAGGTTTAGCCCTTGCTGGGGCGTGTACACCGGCCACGGGCGGCTTCCAAACCCTCAGGTCAATGGCATCTCAGCTGGGGCAGTGGGGGCGGGGGCATATGATCACAAAACCTGTGCTTCTGCGAGAAGGTCTCGTGTTTTAGCAGCAAAAAATCTTTAGGATATGGCTGCTTGCCCAAGGGCTTCGGGTCTGCGTCTTCTTGTTCATCAACCTGTCAGTCATTTTTTTTTTTTTTTTTCCCGTAAAGACACAATCTAAACTCAGAAATTTTGAATCCTGAGGTTTTTACAGAGCAGAGGCCGTCACACGTAGTCTCCTGAACTAGTACTTCGGCTTGGGGTAGCCTGAGCTGGGAGGCCCCCAGTCAGCCGGGAGGGGTCCGCACTGCGGGGCGACAATCTACACCTCAGCAGCAAACCCAAAGCCTTCAGCACCTGCCAATCGCGAGCAGGGACTCCTCGGGACAAGCAGCAACGCCCACAATAGTGAATGGCACTAAGGCCAGCCTATCGGCAAGGAGGCGGTGAGGGGGTGGAGTCAGAATTAGCCAATAGAATAGAAACAATTGCTGTTGGGCGGGAGGGAGACGCCAGCGAGTTTGCGTGAAGTCGCTCCGGGGAAGCCAAGGCAGGAAGCTCGCGGAGCCAATGACCGCGGCGGGCTGGCGGCAGCGCGCCTGCGCGCTGGGGCGTGGGGCTGCAGGCGGGAGGCGGGGAGGGTGGGGGAGGGGAGCGGGCTGGAGCGCCGCGGAGCTTTTGCCGTCGCCGCAGCCGCCGCCGCAGCGAAGAGGCCATGTTGTGTGGAGTGTGGGGCGGGGGGAGGAGGAGGAGGGAGTAAAGCCGAGCGAGGAGACGGCAGAGACACCACACACGGCACAAGATGGCCGGAGAAGCAGCAGCGCCTCGAGCTGTCAGGCGCTCCGCCGCGGCCCAGGGCCTCACAGGCCGGCGGGGAGCTCCGCCCGGGCGGCCCCAAGGCCCGCGGGAGCCGAGC